TTCCCATTGTTTTTTTTGTTGTTTTTTTCTGTCTACAAATAATCTTCTTCGGGGGAAAAAAGTAAGAATTCACGGAACCAGCTACGAACTGCTCTTGCGCGAACTAAAAATTAATACAACAATCCATTCCCTTTTTTTGAAAAACCGGAGACGACGGACGAAAAAGGGGACAACACACAAAACGTCTCCAGCATTCAAGGAGCGCAGCTAGATTAACTGTACATACTCCTCTTACGAAGCGCAGCGAGTTTGAAAAGACAGCTATATAGGACTGCCGCGGAAGACAAGCTCGTGCTCTTTGACCAATGAAGGTTGGGCACGTTGCGCTCAAATACTCATGTCTTCATGTAAATCGAGGGCCACAGAATTCATAGACAGCCACATGTGTCCACACGCGCTGTTTATGGACCGCCATGGGCCGAACCTCCCGTTCTCACACGTGAAGTGAAAGCCACGCTACTCACATACTGACATACACACACACACACACACACGAGGCTAGGGGCCCGAGGGCCTCTTTGTATACCGCGCATGGTCAGAGGCTACCAAGGCTTTGACCTCGCGCTCGCAGCCATTGCAGTGATCCAAGCTTCGATAAAACAACATAAGCTGACTTTTCCGAACTGATCGCAACTGAAGTGATTAGAACTGGCCTCCATTAGGCAAATCCCGAAACTCTCAAGTTTTACCACCCGAGAACCTCGGAAGTCCAAAGCTGCGAACGCCATATACGACTGCGCGAGTTCCTCGACAAGTGCGCTACAGACGGCCTGGAACGAGCTCTTGAGTAAAAAGCTGGTCAGGATTACGATATCACCCGCGTACCAAGAACGCTGTTCGACAGAAGACGCTAGCCGTTCAAACTGCGAGCTCCCGTTTCCGCGAGTCACGGCATCTCATAGCGTTTGCGTTCGCCGCAGTCAGGGATCCGCGAAGGGAACAAACAGTGCGCAGATCCAAGAGGAAGTGACACGAAAAAGCGGCTCTTAAACCAGTCTTACTCTCGGACGGAAATCTTGCAATCGGGTGCAATTTATACAACAGCGTGCCGGACAGCATTCACAGAGGAAAGCGAAACCGGTTCATCCGTTTTGTTTAGGTTCGGGGAACTTGCCTTTCGGACGCAAAAGAGCACTACCGGCCCCCAGTGTTCGACGTCACGATCACAATAAAAACTATAACGCGGGAAATAAAAACTCGGGTCGATAAGATGGACAGAAATCTGTGTAGGTTTTCTTCCCAGAGAAAATTCGGTTAAAAACATTATCATACTGCAGGTCTCCTTGCATCCTGGAGTATAATGACGAACATGAACATTTTCATTTAATAATAATAATACAATTTAATATTTAGTAATAATCGCGTGGTTATAGCTTAAAAAAATAATGTACGTGCTTCTTTTATTATACAAAGCATACTCAAATTAAAACTAAGAAAGCGGCTTTACACAGCGTTGCGCAATCACGTCGCGTATTTGTTATATATATATATATATATATAGAGAGAGAGAGAGAGAGAGAGAGACTAGAAACTTGGCACAAAAAAAGTTGGGGCTCCAATCCACGCTGTGAAGGTGGTTGGCCAGCGAAGCTGTGGTATCACCTGCAACGATTTCCCACTGCACATACCAAATGCCGCCGCTGGTCATACTGCCGTTTTTTATTTTTTTTTTCTGCCCCTTTGCCGCTCCTCGTATTCACGCTGCTCCTCAGGAGACCTAACTATGCCTGCACTCTAAAAAAAAAAAAAAGTTTTGTTTTACACTTTTTGTCTTATATAATGCACCCCAAAACTTGTTCGACGTACAGCGCACCGGCGTCGAACTGACAGCCCCAACTTTTAGGAGGGGCTTGATAACGGTGCGATATAACTTATTAACCCTTTGAGGACAAGCAACCAAAAACATAACATCACTTTATTTACACAAAAATTGGAGTTCAAGGCCCCAAAATATCACCAGCAAAAGGTTTTCAGAATTACAGTATAAGTTTAGATGTTACAGCATTGTTGCCTCTAGGCAACAACAGGCACAACCCAGTGTTTCACGCATTGTGAAACTGAAACATGCAGTCTTTGCCAGACGTAAAACCACAGATGTACTTTGCATTTTCTGCACATTACACGGGTTATGCCAGTGCAGTCAGGGAATTTACAGCTTCCTTTTTTGTCGGCGTACATTGCAAAGTGTTCAACGTTGTCCAGACGAGCTTCTTTGACTGGGATGACGGCCATCAGCCCACGGCGCTTTTTGGCTTCAAGTTGGTTCTCCACATCCGACAGCGCCTTCCTTCTTGTCGGTGCTGAGATCTTTTATTTCCCCTCGGAGGGCCTAGGCTATCTCAGCCTTAAACTTCAGAAGTGTCAGTTGCCCTTTCTTAGTGATGTTTGCTGCGTCGGCATCTCGCCGGTATAACAACAAACAGTGTACGATAACTACATCTATCAGGTGGAAAAGCAGCTTCAGGTACCACTTCTTGGACCTTAGCGTTGTGCGGTAGAGGGCCACAAGCATGTCGAGAAGGTCCACACCTCCCATAGACTGGTTGCGTATTTTCACTATGGAGGGGATGAGACGTCCACCATGGATCGGGCTTTTTTGTCAAAGCGCCTGACACTATGTTCAGGGCTCGCTGACGCGAAGGTGGAAACCAGGGAGACAGAGCGGTTGTCGAACCACTTTACAGCTCGGACGTTGATTCCATCTACGGTCACTTCCCTTTCTTCGAATGCCCCTCGGCTGCTTTTCTTCAAGTCCTTTTCAATAGGAAGCTTACAGCCTTTCAGTCGTGCTTCACGAACTGTGCCGATAGAGTGAATTCCAACCTTCATCAAGGTAACCTTCAAGGTCTAAACTTCTAAACCAGTTATCAAACAACAAAATATAATTTTTGTGCCAAGGCACCACGTCTGCCATCCGAAGGACGATATTCCCACTTGCTCCGATATCCGGCATTCCTGGTTGAGGAGAGATTTTTCCTGTGTAGATTTCGAAGTTATAGACCATGCCAGATGCATCACATAACATGAAAATTTTTTAACTTCATTTCTTGGTTTCTTTGGAAGGTACTGCTTTGAAGGGAACTAGCTGCTTATCTACACTAAGTTTCCGACTTTTAGGAATCGCTTGAAACTTTTTCACAAGGTGATCACCAACAGGTCGAATCTTCTTGTCTCGGTCTGCTTCAGAAGCATCCGGGGCGTGCTCGTTGTTATTGAAGTGGAGCGATCGCTTGATGAACTCCCACCTGTCACGCCTCATGACGTCCGTTATCTGCGACACCCTACACTGTTCTAACCAATACAGTCGCGTTTGTGGCTGCTCGTTGATTGACATAGTCATCACTATCCCAAGCAATTGTTAGACTTCATTCTGGGTCAAACAGATCACCTTGTTTGGTTTTTTCTGGGTGCTGTAAGGGCTTGTCTCATCAGAAACATTTGCGAGCATCTCAGCGTCATGAACTTCCGGAAGTATGACATGAGAGGTTCAACATCACTTGGATGCGGAGGAACGTCCTTCCAAGCTGGTTCTGGCTGTTTTATTATTTGGCAACACCATCAAAACTGGTAGTGTTATTCTTATCACAACAGTTCAGCAGAAGTGATCTACTGTGTTAAGATGCTCCGAAACAAGTCGAATGGAGATTCAAACCATCAATCTGGAAATGACCTCCAGGAGTCATGATAAAATATTCAATATCCCCATTACAAGCACATTATCCTGATCCTTTCTCACCATCCTGACAATGGAAGGCACTCTCACTTTAATTAAGGCTGGTTCACAAATCTGCGTCGGTTGCGTTCGAAAACAAAGCGACAGCAATGACAAAGTAACCGGGACAAGTGTTCGCCGTACACGTGGCAAGCGATGCAAGAGGTAGCTTCGCGAAGCAATCACTAGTCAAAATTGTTCCGGATATTGGTGTGTTCGATGTGATACTGCTCTTTTGAACACATGTAGACCAAAAAATAAGCGCCGAAATTTCGTTGTAGTATACCTTTAACACCGTCTGGTGAGCTCGGACCAGGGTGCGCGACTAGTCACCCCGGCCGGGCCCAAACCAGTTGCAAAAATTCGGCCCAAAACGGGTGCCAACCTGCGCATATATCCGCAATTCGGCATTGACACAATGCACGCTTGATGTAAGGCGAAGCCTACCCTGCAATCATTAGTCGATACGCCACTCCAAATTAGTTCACATTCTGCTTCTGCTGCACGCAAATAAAATCGACTGTGTTCCTCTTGGAAGTTAGACTCGATTTCAATGAGAAGGAATTAATCAACTCGCGGGCCCTTGAGCGCGTATAATTTCAAATGTAACGCTGAAGACTCGGATAGCTTAACCGAGCACTTGACTGGAGTCGGCCAGTGCTAATCTTGTCACCTTGCCGATAGTAGTAGTCAGGAAGTGGGCACGGGAGTGTGCAATAATCGCCGACGCATTATCGCAGGTGATAACGTGCAGGTTCGCGGGAAGACAGTTCTTTCTTTAGGTGTTGCACTTTAGCTTTTCTTTGTTTCCCCCAACAAAGTGGTACGCGTTGATACACAGAAGCTCGTCGATAACTGCCAGACCTCCCTCACGCGCATCGATAGGAACACCGTGCCGTGCAGTTTAGTTAACCAGCTGTCACCAGTCTGGCGCCATGCGGGGAAAAGTACGAGTGCGACAAATTCGCGGTAAAAGTAGGGAACGCGAGCCAGGCGGGTATTTAAAAACAACCACGTTATATCAATCATTCAAAAGAGAAGTCCCACGATCGCTACCTTTTTGGCGCTGCGTTTGGCGGGGTTTTTAAATTTAAGCTTGCCGTTCAGAGGCTAGCTCGCGGCCCCCGGTTCCGACATGCTGAACTTCCTTTACACCACGATCCTATAGTTACGTGAACAGTAGTGCGTAACAGTTGGCCGACAGCAGGCATAGTCATTGCGTGTAAGAAAAACGTCGCTTTGGAATGCCCACAAGTTAAACTACACTGCACCTTTTCTACTATTCCAGTTTCATCTCGTGCTGCTCGTGGGCCTGGCCTGCACAGCCCAGGGCCAGTCCGATTTTGCTGACCAGGCCACAAAGTCCTTCCTGGGCATGCTGTTCGCGCCCTTCGGTAACAAGCCGAGCAGTCCACCGTCCGAGCCTCTGTACGAATCGTCATACGTCAAGCGCCCAGTGCACGAGCCAGATCCCTACAAGCCGAGCTACAGCCTAACCCCACCACGATCCTACCACCGAGCGGAGGCTCACCACCGGCCCGAATCTCCGTACCGAGCGCCTCCGCACGAGGTCCGGAGCAAGTCCCGCTCGGGCCCCTGGATCTCAGCTCCGGAAGAACACTGGGTGCCTCCCCCTAGCCACTGGGAGCCTCCTGCCTGGCAGGCTCCCAAACCCAAGCACGGCGCCTTCACCATCAAGATCCGGCCAGCAGCACCTGAAGAGGACCACCACCACCACCATTCCTGGGATGACCACGGCCACCATCACGGCCACGGGCACGGCCACGCCTGGAGCATCGATAAGAAACCTCACTACAAGACGGTCGACGCCAAAGTTCGGCTTCCACCAGTCAAGTTCCGCCTCCACGTGAGCCCCAAGATTCGCATCGTGAGTGGCACCAAGGACCCCCTAGAACGGCCCCCGCCCCCTGAACCAGAGGAGCACTTCCCCTGGGAGAAGCCCAGCACGGGCTGGCACAAACCGAGCTCCGGATGGGAAAAGCCTCCAGCGGGCTGGGAGAAGTATGCGAGCGGATGGGAAAAGCCGTCTTCAGGAGGCTGGGACCGCTATGCCTCGAGCGGCTGGGAGAAACCCTCTGGAGGATGGGAGAAGTCTTCGGGAGGATGGGAGAAACCCTCAGGATGGGAGAGGGTTTCGTCGGGCTGGGAGAAACCCTCCTCCAGTGGCTGGGAGAAGCCTTCCTCAAGTGGCTGGGAGAAGCCTTCTTCAAGTGGCTGGGAGAAGCCCTCCTCAAGCGGGTGGGAAAAATATGCCTCGAGCAGCGGCTGGCAGAAACCGCCTTCGAGTGGCTGGGAATCGTCACCACCAAGTGGCTGGCACAAGCCGAGTAGTTGGGACGATTCTCACCATCGCCACTTCAAGCCCCACCACCGGCACTACCCGCCCGATTACCCTCGCTACGACCCACACTTTCGCATCAAGGTTCATCCCCACATCGTGACCGATCCTCCGCCAACGACAACTACCACAACCACTGAAGCGCCCACATCGTCCAGCCTGCGCACTCGTAGTGATCCCCCAGAATACCCCAGTCCTGAAGATAGAGTTGACCGGACTGACGCAACCACACCTTCCACAACTACTACTACTACTACCACTACCACCACCACCACCACCCCCACCCCGTCCACTACGACTGAAATAACCACCACCAATGCAAGTCCCGAGCCAACAACATCCAGTGAGGAGCCTGCAGAACCTACATCTACGTTCTACACACTGGACGTTCCAGACGTTGGCACCACAACGCCGAGAGGGTTAGAGAGAGAATCACCCACATCACGGCCTACCACCGAGATCCCAATCGACAGCATACCCACGGATCACGAGTCGACGACAAAGCATAGCATCAGCCCTCGAGAAGAAACTACCACTGGCAGGAGCACTGCATACACGGAGCCACTGGAAGAGCACGGTGGCATCACACCCTCACTGCTACCAGAGAAGAGATCGAGGGACCCTGTGACCACTGCAGCTAGCGCCCCTCCAGGGAAGAGGTTGAAAACGCCAGTCACAACTGCGTCGAGCTCAGACTGTGCCACAGGGCACAGCCACTCACGCAAGGATCATAAGCACCACTCCAAGAGCCACAGGACCAAAGAGGCCACTTCAAAGAAACCTACTCCAGAGATTGAAGGAAGCACTCCAGCAGCAGTGCAAACCACATCAACAGAGCTCGATGCCCACAATGAAGTTCCCATGAACAAACTGGAGGAGAGTGCAAAGCCAAGCAAGACCGACCAGGAGCTGCCCCTTGTTGCAGATGCATCGAGCCCTGAGGAGGTATCCACAGCTGGTTTAAATGCATGACTAGTCTCGATGTTGGTGGGTGATGGAGAAGCACGTCACTGGCACAACGTCTTAGGGTCAGTGGCCAGGGCAGTCAATGAGTTTAAGAACTACTATTGAGCACTACCATGAATGGCTCTGAGACAAGTCAAAACCACATGTCCCAACAGGGACCTTGGCTTTCAGGGCCACTCCACCTGCCATAAGTGCTCATGGTGATACCTCTCAAAGGTGTCGGACAGCCCACTTCTCGCAATACTAGGAAAAAACATCCCCACCAACATCAGTCGTCTGATAAACATGGCACAAGCTGCCGAAAGGACTTGCTTCCACATAGATGAGCCACAGGGTTCGCATGACTGTTTTCAAAGCCTTTTGTGAAGGCCTTCATGCCATCCTTCTGAACAAGCAGGGCACATGCTTCTCATGTTGGTTTGACAGTGAACCTACACACACAGGGCTTTGCTTGGTTCAGCTTCAATATTCTTTGTAAATATCTGGGTTTGGTGTTTCATTGTGTCGGTGTTTGGGTGATCACTCTTGGATACTGCTCTGGAGTAGTGTGCCTACGACAAAGATGCAAGCCAAGTTGTGTGTGTTGGGGGCTTAAGAATTCCTACTCAAGAACTCGCTGTTGGGGGCTTAAGAATTCCTACTCAAGAACTCGCTGCCATATAACGAATGCAGCTTGCTGCACTGTTCAAGTCACCAAGAATGGGTGTTTCTAAGACTACAGTGAGTGGTGGTGGGTGTTAGTATGCACCGGCTGCTCAACTTTTTTTGTGGATACCAAGGAATCTAAAATAAACAGCCTCTTACATACTACATATTACCAAAAACACAAGTCATTTTTGTCTAGATGAACCTCGTGACAAAGTTAGCAAAAAGAATACATTGGCAGGTTTTTGCATGTTATAAATATAGGCAAGTGTCGAACACCAAATTTTATCGTGTGGGGTGGTACCCCACATAAATACAGCCATGTTCGCACCCGACACTGCCACATGATCGGCAAATACTGAGCATTTGCTGGAGATGTGGCTATCATTCGGTCGCAATGACAATTTCAACATTCACTGCAGACCGAGCAATCGTGTTGTACTGTCACATAACTACCGTAGAATACCCATACCCAAATTTGTAAGATCCGAGAAAATATGCACAGTATGTAAAATTGATGACTGGACAAGCACCCATCCCCAATCTTTCCTCATTATCCCTAAATTTTGAGTGGGCGCTTGCCCGGTATTTTACGGTAGACAAGTCTGAACGAGAGCCGCAGTAGCCTCCAAACTTAATGCCGCGCATGGCCACATTGAGCTTGGACATGGCTGTACATTCCATTATACTAATAGTTTTAATCACAACTTTCCAGTTGTAACAAAAACAACAAAGAATGACTATCTTTTGGACACGTTGTGTTTACTCTGTACAAAGCTTTACACATCCAAGTCTGTGTCAAAACTCTTTATTTCTTAAGAACCACATGAATTTGTGAATGAATGATTAATACTAAACATCTTGGCTGACTTTCTGCACGATTACCAAAACAATGTACACACAAAATAAACTGAAATAATAAGTGAAAACGGCACATCCAGAATGACTAAAAGTTAAAATCCGAGTCAAAGCTGCTCCGATTCACACCACTGCATCTGAAAACACTGGTGCTTAGCACACGAAGTTAAGGCGTGACGTTGCAAAGTGTTAATCCATGCCATCACATTAATGTTTGCCTTTTATGAATCAAGGAGACAGAGTGAGCACAATGAAAAACATAGAAATATAAACTTCAGGAATAAAATTAAAACATGCAACAAGTAATTATGTCGACCCCTTGTCTTTCAAATAAATCATGTAAATTGCAAAAAAAAAACAACAACAACAAAAAAAACCTTTCTTATCAAAAGTAGGACATATGCAACTAGCGGGACAGTAAAGAGAAGGTCCTTCTTAACCTTAATGCAACAACAAAAGAAAGCACATTAGGTAATTATAGATACAAGTTTCTTTTTCCAAAACTCTTACTCTGTAATTCTCTTTCTGGATTTTGCAAGTAAGCAAGCCTACAACTTCCAACAAGTTTACAGTAAAGAAATCAGAAATTCTTTCTATTTTACCTTTTCATTAAAGATACCTTGATCATGACACTTAAAAATATTCCATTTACTACAAAATGGCACCACTAAATGAAACTGCAGTGCTCAGTATCAAGGGACTGCTCACTCAGGGAGAAAAGACAATAATTATTTGCTTCATAATTTGTTGCTAGCTCTGCAAGTCTTCGGACATTAAACCGAAAGTAAGTGTTTAAAGTTCAAACCATGCACTCCAAGGCATACAAAGAAACCAAAGAAAATGCACCCTGTCTTGTATAGCAGTGGAAGTCTTCCACCACTGTTAGCGCCCATACAAAAACCTAGTGCCCTCGTTGCACTGGCGTTTGAAAACAAAACAGAACACTTTAAACAAACGACAGGCATGGACTAGGATGTGTTAAGTATTCTGCACTCTTGTGCTGTGAACCACAAGATGTAAGGCAAACGTAGGTCGCTATTTCCCTTCTGCCAGACATGCCTATCACTGCCAGAGCACTTGAGAGACGCCCAACCTTGTCAACCACAAGCTCTGGGTTAAAAAAAAATGGCAAGTTGGCATGGCCGGTAAACAACTGTTAAGGCACCGACGAAACAAACAGGCAAAAGTCGAGGAGAAGACTGGTCCCGTTCACACCCTTGGTCCCAAGAGAAGGCAGTCTGCTCCACATGAAAGACAGTGCTGAAGTGCTGGTAGGAATGAGTAGAGGCCACCCCAGCTCACTGGAAAAATGATCATGCACTTATGTTTGTCTGTTGCCCAGGCCACCAGTTTAAGAGAACCCTGCTTCCCCTATTGCATGCATTGCAGTGAAAGGGTCCGACAAGTGATCTGCCCGCCAGTACGTGGTTCAGATGCCTCAACATCGATTAGCCATATACACAATGCAGCAAGCAAGTCACCAACGTGGCAAAAGTCGGGGAGCTGAATAAACCTCCGAAAGCACATTCCCAGACAGACTGATTCAATGTGGGTTTAGGAGTGTTATTGGTAGTATATGCCTGAATGCCAACTGTGAAGTTAGCAGATAGGCTGCTTGGTACAGTGCGCACACAAGCAGAACAAGAGGGCCATGACGTCCACAATACTTACTAAGACATTTAGTTCGCTGAAAAAACAAAAAGGCAGTCACAAAACGACAAAGAAGCTCAGCAGACCTCCACACCCACCACACGATGTGAAGAGTTACAGCTAGAGCCCGTTAGCCAAAGATGGGCAAAGCAAAAGTTTTGAAACTTACTCTCAGTACCATAAACAAGCCACACTTAAAAACAAATTTATTACTCCATTCACACTCTGCTAAATGCTGCAAGGCAAAGGCCTCCATAGTTATGAGCAAATATGCCACAAGATCTCGGCCTTGCATATAACTGTAATTGGTGACAGGTTAAGAGCTCAGGGGAAGCTCCTCACACCTTGTTTCACTTGAGCAGAGTGAATGTTGGAGAGGAGGCAACCCCCTATTCAGCATTCCCACTGCTAAAGTGGAAACGGGTGGGTGGAGCCAGAGAATTTTTATATTGTATCTAGAGGTTCAACTGGCACTAGTGTCTATGCGACTTCGGGATGCCAAATGAAGCAGACAGCAACCAGTCTACTTTTGCAGTTCCCCTGTGCATTCCTATGGAAAAACGTGCATGAACTGTCCCTTCGCCGGAAAATAACATGGAACACTTATGTTACTTCGGTCGTACCGAATAGTGTGTACCTTTTATCATGGTAAGAGTGTAATTGCTTTAGTACAGTATTTTTATTCACCGGTGAACAATGTTAAACTTTGCTATATTTAAAGGGATACTACAACGAAATTTCGGCGCTCATTTTTTGGTCTATATGTGTTCAAAAGAGCAGTATTACATGGAACATACCAATATCTTGTTAAAAAAGTCTCGAAAAAGGAATTTTAAAACGAATTAAACGATTAGCAAAGAGCACCTGGTGGATGTCGCTAACGCCTCGTTTGTAATGCTCGTCTAGGAACCTTGACAGCTAGTGACGGAGGTTGTCTCGTCTCCGGCCACGACGAGAGAAGAGGGGCAGGAGGAACTCCCCTCTTCCCGAGAATCCCTTTTGTGTGTCGCAGAAGTCGCTATTGTCCCCCTAGAAGATTATAGAAGATTAACCCGTCACTCAAAATTCGTACAAAAGCAGCCGCTTCGGTGGCTGGAACGACTAGGCCATCCTCTCGACGTCAGCCTCGCCGTAGCTTTGCTCGTCTTGAGACGACCTACGTCACGATTGCGTTGGATGTCACGTGCTCTAAGCTGGGCCTTCTCCGAGCGCTTGCCAGAGTGGGCCGTTTATAACGAAAAATACAGCCACCAGGATCAAAATACAAACGTGCGATTGTCATTTATGGATATTGTGGATCATATTCAACCTATTTTTGAACACGACGGGAATATTTCAAATTTCGTTGAAGTATCCCTTTAAGGCCCAAACCTCTGCTCCATAGCAGGTGTGTAAAAACGAGTGACAATTCTAAACAAAATAACAATCAAAAGGAACATAGAGTGTGTTCAAGGTTCGCCAGCATTCCAGGGGCGCTTATATATTGCTAATATGCCCGTCCTGTCACTATATATGACCACACCGTACATCTTTACAAGTGGTTAAAAAGATTCCAAACGTAAAGTATGAAGTATGTGGGTTAAAAAGGAGTTTCTTTTTATTATTTCTCACACCATGCAGCTTTTATCGCGCACTTGTTCTCTGGCATCTCCCTACTTTCGAAGATTTTGAGCGTGAGGGTATTGTTTTGAACGTAGAACAAACATATTCGCACATATTCATGAGCAGAAAGAATAAAGCAGTATTTATTTATTGCAAACCGGACTATATCACGTGGTCTTCAATTAGTTTTGATTGTCAACATACATAGGGAGTTACTGCTCCAGTGTTACTGCGCAGCTCTTGCCATCTCTCTTGGTTTTCCAGATGTCCTTCGTTCGTTTGGCACGTATACCCCCATGCTGAAAAGCACCGATGCCGTGTTCACGCTAACAGTGTCCGCAGTGCACATAAATGCATGTATGAAGCTGTTTTAGCACTGTGTTTAATGCCAAGAATTTGAAAGAAGAACGCCATAACTGAGGAATTACTTCGTGTGCGTGACTGAGAAATGTTCCAAGCTCATTATGCTTCCTGCATCATTATGCAAAAAGGCATTGCTCTGCGAACATTCGGAACTGCGCTATACGAGTTTGTTTGACCATGTGCATGAGCATAATGGCGATCTCTACACAGACCGCACACCAAAGCGAGAGCGAAAATAAATTTTACGTCAAACTCGTGAAATATAAAAAAGAGACCTCTGAAATGGTTTAGAAGGCTTATGTCAAAATGCAGTGAGGTGTGCGAGGTGTTTTGTGTGGCAATCGCACCTCAAGAATGGCAGAACGTCACTGAAGTCAAGGAAAGGTCGCATAAAGTCGCCCTACCGCTCTCCATCTTCCAGCGATGTTCTGCCGTTTTTGAAGTGCGAGTGCCAATTGAAACACTTTGCAAAAATCACTGCTTTTTGACATGAGCCTGCTGAATAATGTCAAAGGTTTCTGTTTTATATTTGCAGATTATGACGCAGAACTGATGTTTGCTCTCGCTCTGGTTTGCAGTCTAAGGTGAAATCGCCATAGTGCCCGTGCACGTGGTCACAAAAACTCGTGTAGCGCAGCTTCAAATGTTCACAGAGCGACGCCCTTTGGTATAACGAGACACGAAGGCCCCATCCTTCGACTGCTGCGCATGCATCACCGTGCTGCCCTCTCTTTTAACGCTACAAAATCAGTCTGTAAACTTTTTGATCACACTTCGTATGTATGAATTATTAGAGATATTTGCTCTTGTAATCAAGCGCAGGGAGAAAATGCACTCATGCACTTTTTCCCATAAAAATGCAGTGCCGGAAGTCAACTTCAGACTGGATGCTGTCTGCTTCAATTTGTAACAGCACACTAGCGCCAGTTGAACCTCTAGCGTACATGATAAAAACCTAATGGGTGGTGCCTCCCCTGAATTCTTAACCCATCATCGACTGCAGGGTTTTGCGTTTTGGATAAATCCAATCAAATTCTACAAACGCTTGCCAGTAAAAATATTGCAGCTGCGGATTTGTCTGGAAAACTCGGAATTTCGAGACTGCCAGTAGTAAAAAAGTAAAAGGATTTTTATGTTTTCAAGGAATCCTAACAACTTTCCCCATTCTCTTTTTAAAGGGGAACTCAAGTGGATTCCGAGATTGTCTATGTATGGTGATAACTCCATCTACAAGCTCAAGCATACTAAACAAAAAACAGAATTACACTTATGTGTGGCTAATATCCCTATTAAAAAGCTAATCAAAGATTGTGACAGGCCCCTCTTTCTGTGTCTTGGAGCAGACACCAGGGGCTGCCGTCGGACGGTGTTTTCAAGAAACAATTGTTGTATTACGTCTCCTACATCCAAAAATATTAGTTTTTGTCAAAATTACACAACGCGCTTCAAAAGAGCAATAATAGTAATGTTCAGAATCTCCACGCATTTAACTATTTTCATTGGCCAAATTTTATGAATGTGGTGGGGACCAGAGGATGGACCCCCAAGAAAAAATAGGGCCAATGTATTTCTATTGCTGTGAGTATAGAGGACGTCTCGCCATCTAAACTGGTCATTTTTATTGACTAAAGCCCAACAAACAGTATGCCATCAAAGATAAGCAAAAGCGAATATAACCTCAATATTTAAATATTTCTCTTTATGCCAAAAGCCTTTAGGATTTTCAAACGACCATTACATTCTGCTGTGCCAGTCAGCGCAAGTAAATGGCATTTAGACAATGTTTACAGCGATTGAAGTTTCGTAGCTCGTTCAAACGCATAAAGCACATTCATGCTAAAAGAATAATATTTTGGCGATATAAATCATTTTTGAAGTATTTCTTAAGCGAACAACATATTAAAAAAGACGAAATGAGTTCAGTCGGGTGATTACAACAAAGTCTACTTTAAGCCCAAGCAAAGTAGTTTTTTGGCAATTAGCGGTAACCCTGAGCGTCTTGCTCGGTACGCGCCAACCTTAGTGTGTGCGCTCCTTCCTCATTGATCAGTGCTCCCGCTCCTTTCCATGCTTCTGCTACACTTTTTTGCTGTTCGGTTCGGCGTAGTGCTTGCACTTGAGTTTCATTGCAACTGTCCCGAGGCCCTCCAGCCGATCCTCCCAAAGCCGTACGAGCGCCCAGGTCGCCTCAATGCTCCAATGGAAGCACGGCGACCCCTTCCTACTTGAGGACGCTCCTCCGTCGTTCGACGTATCACACAACGAGAGAGTGAGATACAGAAATATATGTGTACAAAAAAACATTATATACAATACGAATAGCAATACACTATTAAAGGATGATAAAATTTAAAGTAGAGAAATAAAAGCTAGATAACTATGGTTGTAAGGGAAATTGAGAGGAGAAAAACCGAAGTGCTGAAGCGGACAACGCGAGCAGGCGACGACGAGGCCTACTAGATAGCTGGGGCCGTGAGTAGAGAAAACTATTAGTAGAGCGAGGTTTGTACAGAATATACGTGAAACACCCTCTTTTATAATAATAAAAATGCAGAATATCAATTCTGCATTTCCTTTTATATCAATTCTCTTCTCTAGTGTAGACCGCTGTTGACGAGAGTAGGCCTCTAGCAGCCGTAAAGGAGTTGCGGGAACTCAGGTTCAGGAAAAGGACCTCTACGCTAAA